CATGAAACCCCTCTGAGCAGCGTCACCCCAGTGCTGTGTTCCCATCCCCATGAGCCAGCAGGACACCTTTCATGTCCTAAATGCAGCGTGGAGGCCAACATAGCACTAATTACAAGGCAGTGCATCCCCGTGCCCTGTGACTAAGGCAGTATGTAGAGCAAAGGTAGGAACAAACCACCAGAAGAGCAAATAAATAAAGGAGGCAGCCTTAATAATGGGGTAATTACCTGGCTTAAGTACACAATCATCTAGCATTTTGCTAAACTTTATGACACATGATGACAAGTTAATAAATGAGATGTCTTACCAGCAGTAAAACAGCTGTTAGCAGCCACCTTGTATGTCTGGGTAGCCCAGAGCAAAATGAACCACTGCTCCAAATGAAAAGAAACTGGTTATTTCTGTTTGTCGAAATAGCCCGTGTAATAAATCACCATTAATGATGCTGTCACTTATCAAAGGGAAAGCTCTTGTTGCAAAAGCCTTTGAAGTCATGGCACCTATAATTTCCTACCTATAAAAAGGTGCCTTTGTGCATGTGTCATGGCTGGAGCTGCTGGGAGGGACCTGGAGTTCAGTGCTGCCCATAGCTCTGAGCTGAGGGGCACCATGGGGCGGGGGGCACCAAGGAGCAATGGGAGCACAGGGAGTCCCCAGCCCAGTGCTGAGCCCTGCAGCAGGAGCCCAGCCCTCCCTCCTCTCCCATCCTCTCTGTAGACATTGCTAATGCTTGTGCAATTATCACATTATTGCAAGAATCTTCGTCTGCCATCGCGTCCTGCAGAAGAGCACAGAGGCGTCTTGCCCTGCTCCTCTGCTATGCAACCACTGTGCAACAAGAACCAGGCTGCAAGCACGGCCCCTGTACAAACAGTGCCTGTCAGCAGGGATTAAACCCTCTGTCAGCACAGTGTAGGAGGCAGCGGGCACTTGAACTGAAGGAACATCTCCTTCCAGCAGCAAGAACGCAGCCAGCACTTGTAGCTGTAAGAGCTGTGATGTATGCATTGCATGCACGTGCTGCAGGGCTGGGGATGGCGGGATGGAGCTGCTGACCCCATCCCACAGACCTCTGGGGACCATGTCTTATGGGATGCAGCTCAGACAGTGGGGAGCTGGATGTATGCAGAGGTGTCAATGGGCTCTGTTCATGCTGCCAAGCAGGAAAGCAGCAGAGCCCAGCAGAGCAGGACAGGGTGTTCAGTTGAGAAAAGCATGAGACCATACCTATGCCAACCTGTGGGCAGCTTCCATGTCTCTGCCTTCCACTCGTCCCCATACTCTGTCCATGCAATGCATCCTAAAAGAGCAATGAAGTCCCAAGTAAAGGGCTACAGAGGCAAAGGGGGGAAGGGGGGTTTCTCCCCCTGTTTAGGAGGAATGTGTTTCTTTTCTAGAGACCTAAGGAGGTTTTTTTCCCTCCTTCTTGATTATTAAACGAGGCAGCTCCTGTGTCGCTTTGTCACTTCTCCCTGTTGAAGACACTTTCTCTTTTCTTCTCATCTGAGCGGCAGCACCTCACCGCCTCGTAGCATCTGCTGCAAGAAGTCGTCACCTGTCACCTCTCCCCAAATGACTTGAGAAAACAGGATAGAACAGCTATAAATAATTTAGACCCATCCGACGCTGGTGCAGTGACTAAATATCAGAAGTGCTGGAGCATCACAAGCATTGATAGCCACGTAACCTACTTTGGGAGGAGGATGAGAGCAGCAGGACCGCGTGCTGCCCTTGTGGCCAACACATCTCAGCTCCCGTTGAGGGCCCACGGGCAGGGCATGGCCCATCCCTTTGGCACACTGAGATAAAGGTTTGCATCACCCCAAAGACACAGACAAAGCATCCCAAAGGAGCAGGAGAGGGACTTACTATTAACATGCATAATTTCCTGATCAAATCCTACTGCTGTCTCAGAGCTTGTAAGAAGTTAACATCAAAGCCAAGGAAAGGAGGGAATGGCAAGTGCTGGGAGAGATGTCACATTAGTGTCTGGCTCTCCTGCAGCTCCAGCCTTGCTCGTCAAGGCTCTGGCTCCATCGCCCTGCTAGCAGGGAAGGGAAGCATCCCCCGTGTGCTGCAAACAGCAGGAGGACTCGGGTCCTGCACTGCTCCGGCTGCAGGGTGAGATAGGAGCTCCCCTTCGGGCCCTGCTGTAATCGTTCGTCAGGGCATCAGTGCAGCAAAGCCTGATTAAATTCCCAAGCGAGCAACCAGGGAGATAATTAACTTTTGGAACAACTCACCTGCGAGACGCAGCATCCATCACTCAAGGTCTTCTCTGCTGGAGGTGACCCTGCAGCCCAACTGGTGGGAAATATCCTTTGGGGAGTGGAAAGCGCTGATTTACCCGAATTGAAACGATCTGCAGGAGCGCTCCTGGCTCCAGCTGGCAACAAAAGCAGGGAGAGCTGCACAGTGCTGTCAGCCTGCCTGGGCCAGGGACATCGGGGTCACCCATCACCAATGCTCGCTTTGCTCAGGACCTTCTCCATCCATGCACACGCACACACCTGATTTTAAGTGGAGTTAACCCTGGTTGGGGATGAAATGAGCCTGGTTCTCTCACCTTGTTGGTGCAAACCCAACGCTGGGGCCCCCAGGATCCCCCTCATGTGTAGGGTACACTGTCAACCCAGAGAGCTGCTTTGATTTGGAGTGCGCAGCGCTGTCTCTGGGAGATTTATGGCCCCAGTGCCTTTGATGTGGGGCTCTGATAAGCATCAGGAATATTTTTGTTTCATGACAATGTCAGCCAGGGAGCGCTGAGTGCAGGGGTTTATGGGCAGCAGTGCTTCCTGCAGCCCTTGAGCCAGCTGCCACATTCCTGGGGAAGGCCGGCCATGAAAATAAAATCATAAACCCTTGGAAGGCTTTATAAACACAGGGAAGCTTCTCCTTTAAGGGAGAGGAGAGGGGAGTATTTCCATTTCAATCAGGGACATCTCTGGAACAAGCCCTCAGCCAGGGCCCTGCAGAATTTGTCAGGGGATTAGCTCAGGAAAAGAGAGAGTGCAGGATTTTTCCCCTTCGCACTCACTCGGCTGTTATTCCAAATTAGGCTGTTCGCCTTCAGCTCAGAGGAGGGTAATGAAAACCAGAAGGGAGCTGCAATGGGAGCCTGGCTGGGGGCAGGGGACAGGCAGGGCAGCAGCAAAGCACAGGCATGCAAGGGGCAACGGGTCCCAAGCGGAGAGGAAGCAGCGCTGGTGCTGGCATACAAGAGGAGCATGGCACTGCACAATGCTGCATGGCAATGCACAGTGCTGCATGCATTGCATAGTGCTGCACGGCATTGCACAGCACTGCAAGGCATTGCACAGCGTTGCACCATGCTGCTCTGCCACGCAGTGGGCCCCGCTTTGCACCCACATTGGGGTCCGGCTGCAGGGAAGCTGCTGTGTCCTGGCTTTCTCCCCTCAGCAGCCTCTGCTCACTGTCAACTGCTTCCCACGTGATTTATTTGAGGTTTATGCTCCAGCCTGTAATGCAAAACCACAGAGAGCATTTCTTCCTCCTTGTAATTAAAGCCCCCGATGCCGGAGCGCACACCTGGTATAAACAACCATAAAAAAGTACATGTGCAGAGCCAGCACTGTTTTTAGGTGCTGGGAACACAGCCTGAGAGTGGGTGCCCTTCCGAGAGGCCTCAAAGCCTCTTCCCAGCCCAGATCATTCTCATGGCCCCCTCTGTCCCCCATGCCAACACTGCACATTGCTGTCCCAATCCTATGCTGTCCCCTCCAACTCCATGGGAAATGCTCGTATCCATGCAAGCAGGAGGGCAGGACAAACAGGTTGGGCTGCTGAAAAAGGGAATGAGGGAACAGCTGGCAGCACCCAGCACACACTGACCCCAGTCACAGCCCCATGCAGGTTCAGGAATGAGGCAACCCCTCTCCCCCTGCACATCGTGCTGCTGAGCAGAGACCCACCGGCTGCGTCACAAACCCAGGAACTCAAAGCAATTTTAAATGAACTTTCAAAATGATGAACAAAGAGCCCTTGCCCGTGTTATCCAGCAGATAAATCACACCAAAATGATAGTTGTAATTCCCAAAAGTACACAGCGGATTGATTTTCCGATGGCATTTATCATGATGAAGCAGCGCAGCAGCATGCAGGTACAGCTGGAGCTGCAGCGGCCGCCTCCCTCCGTCCCTCTCCCGTTTATCTCTCATCCCATCTCAGCCACATTTGTACAGTTGCACAAGAGATCTCTGCTGCTCCACCCGCTCCGCCTTCGGCTGCACCATCCAAGCACCAGCAGAGCCCCGCTCCATTAGGATAACACTGCTTTCAATCCCCAATCAGATGTTTAAATTATAACAGTGTGTGCCTGTGTATATATCTCCCTTTGTCAGAGCCTCGCCAGCCTCTCCTTCTCTCCTTTATTTGTCTTGCTGCTGTTGCAGCGAAAATGTATTGGCTTTGCAGTTAGTGATTACACGTCATCACATACCCAATTTATAACACCATACCCCAAAGAACAGATGTAATAAAGCCAGGCCAGGAAACAGCAATGTTATAAAACAGAGCAGTCAACTCAAAGGTCTTCGCATGTGTGCAGGGAAGAAAATATTGCAGACTCTGCTTTGGGGAGGGGGGAGGCTGTGGGAGGCGGGGGTTGGCTGCAGGCGGGGGATGTGGGGTCACAGGGGGTGGGGACACTTGGGGCTCTTAGTGCAGAAATCACTGCTGGGCTCTGCAGCCTCCATGAGAGGCTCACGGAGTGGATGGGGGGCTGTAGAGATGGATTGGAATGGGATGGGGTGGGTGGAAGTAAAGTGAGAAGGGATGGGATGGATGGGATGGGATGGGATGGGATGGGATGGGATGGGATGGGATGGGATGGGGTGGGATGGGATGGGATGGGATGGGATGGGATGGGATGGGATGGGATGGGATGGGATGGGATGGGATGGGATGGGGTGGATGGGATGGGATGGGATGGGGTGGGATGGGATGGGGTGGGATGGGATGGGACTGGATATGTTGGGATAGGAAGGTCTGGAATGGAATGGAATGGAATGGAATGGAATGGAATGGAATGGAGTGGGACAAAGCAAAGTGAGATGTGAGGTAATCTGATGGGAAGGGATGGGGTGGGATGGGTTTGGTTGGATGGGATGGAATGAGATGTGGGAATGACACTTCTCTTAGGGGCAGTTCTTCCCCTGTCCCAGTCCCACTCTGGGCTTGCAACCTCCTCCTATCCAAGAGGAAAGGCAAGGGCAGTGATTATCTGCAAATCCTTGATCCTCCCCTTCCCATTCATCCCCAAAGCCACCAGCTCTCAGGAGCAGTTCTCCAAAAAGGCTTACTCCGTGCAAGAATTTATCTCTTTCTATTCACCATGCAGGAGACAGGGCATCTCGCAGTGGGGCTGGCTAATCTGAACCAGAGATAGGAGAGACCCCAGAGCAATAACTGCGTGGGGACGGCTCCGATAACGCGGCAGCAGTGGGGTGAGCAAGCAGCTCCCAGCCTCTCATTATCAAAAAGTTTTTGTTTAATAACCCAGGGTAATAAAATGCACCTCTGGAGGGCCTTGCCCTGATAAAGGAATGTAAATGGGAGATAAAAGGCTCTGAATTTTGCTGACACAAAGAGTGCTCGGAGGGTGGGAGGTGGATGGAGACCCCACAGCCTCAGTCCCACACCTGGGGGTGGGGGGATGGGGGCAGCTTATGGGGCCGAAGTGGGGAAAGGAAAGCTAAAGGGCCAAAGCAGTGTGGTGCAGGACAGAAACTGATACGATGCCAATTCCTTCGCTTAAGAAGCGAATCACTTTGAAAGGTCAAAACTCCCATTCATAATCGGACTAAACAAAAAGCTAATTAGAGGCCTTTTATGTGCTTAAATGAGGCCGGAGAGTTCCCAGTGCTCCCAGAGGCCAGCGACGTTCAGGAGGGTTCCTGGAGAGGAGCACAACCTGCAGAATGCATGGAAGCATCGATACGGGAACGGCACTGCCTGAAAACACGTGCCCAGTCCTGAGCTGGAACGGAGCTCCTGGGGACCCCATCATGGGGACATCAGTGGGGCAGGACGTGGGGCTCAGCCCCATGCAGCAGTGCTCAGGGTTCTCCCCACGCGGCCCCGTGCTGCCACGCCAGCTGCGCCGGAGCGGTGGGTTCCTGTTGCCAAGATATGGATTTGGTTTTAATAACAGTTAGTGCAAACATTGTAAATTTACTGCTGCTAGAGAGAGTTTTTGAAAACGTCCAACTCTGGCTATAATTTTTCAATCGCAGCAGCTGTTTGTGCTCTGCTCATACCTGACACGCTGCTTTGAAATAGCAATCACTGTATTTATAAGAAGGGAAGGACTCATAAATATGTCAGGAGTGGAATATACAACGCCATATTTCACCATTTTCTATTTTAAAATTGTGAGTTATGGCTACAGAAATGTGGTCCCATTAAAGGTGATATGATGTATTTTGTGTCTTGTTCGGGAGCCCATCCATCACCGAGACAATAAAGAAAACCGCACTTACTTTTTTTCCCCGTCGTCCGTAATTTATGATGCCCAAAAAGCTGTAACCTTTTGGCAGGCTTTGCAGAAACTGCTGCACCGTTAGCAACTAAATAACCTTTTATAAGGTTTTAAATGTGTTGCTACAGTCTCGATGCACTTGCCGTATCGATCCAGAAGATCCAGCAAAAAAGGGGAAAGGAACATAATCTATAAGGGGATCGATAGCGGCGTATGGATTGTTGAAAGATGCTCCTAATGATTTTTGCCAGCCGTCATCTTTCAGTGTGCTGCTCCCCATCTTTTGGGCTTCAGTCTTTGTTCACATTAATTAACCATGCCCAGCCCCTCTGCGTGCCAGTGCTTGGGATATGCTGTGGGGCACGGATTCAGCATGGATGTGGCACCAACACGTGGTCCCATGGTCTCCACTGTGCCATCTCCATCCCCATTTCGCGGCTCCGCTGCGAGCAACCCTACAGGATGGGAAGAAATGGGCTGTGCAAAAGGATATCCAACTGGCACCCTATGGAAGGAGCACGGGCAGTCCCAAAACCAGAGGTTTCTTTTCACTGGGGGTGCTCCGTGGGTTAAACATGCCCCACACAGGTTGGAGAAGAGCTGAGCGCAGTGCAATGGCAGCACAGGAGCCCTGTGCTCGACGTGAGGGAACAGGCAAAGCCCATAAAGCACAGCTCACCCCTGACTGCTCGCTTTGTCATTTATGTTTTCCCCCCAAAGCAGCCACCAAATCATTATTAGCATTATAAATAAAAGGAGAGGGCAAGTTATTAAACGTAAAATATGTGGAGTCCTCCTCGAACTCTCCGCGCAGTTCATAAATATGATGGCTTAATTTCATCTGTAATCCAAACGGCTGATGAAGCATTACGCAGCTCTCTGTTAATTGAAGTTGTTAACAAAGCTGAAGAGAGAGATTATTATGTATAGACTTTTATCCTTCAGGGGTATCATCATCACAGATCATAAACGGAAATGAATCCATCGCTCCCATGCAGCACCGCGGGATCAGCGCGTAGGGTTTGGGGTGATGGAGGTACGAGGCTCCCCAGGACCCCATTCCCACCTCCTCCCCGTGGTGCTGGGATGTGAGATCACCGCCATCACTCGGGGCAATGGGAAACCCACCCCAGCTCTGCACCACGGCCACGTGCACATGGAGCACTGAGCTCAGCGCCCGTGATTTACTGTGGGTGTGAGGTGAGCTCCGCGCGGGGCGCGATGCATCCGTCAGCTCCACGCACAAAGGGTCATCATTATCTCAGCCCCAGCGCCCGTCTGCTCAGCACGTTGCTCCAAGTAAGAGCGGCGTGACTTCCAGTTAGCAACGGCTTATTTGTCTTATGGAGGAAGGACGTGTTAAAGGCTTCGTGGTGCAGCTGTGCCCCTGCCCGTGGATTTCGGTGCTCTGTTGCTCAGACCCCGCATCCTCCGTGCACCAACAGTGTGCAGAGCCCCGCTTTGTTCCCCCGCTCCTCTGCACCGCTTCCAGGTGGAGTTATGAAAACACACAATGCCGTTTCCTTCTCCTGGATCCCAGCAGCTTTTTCCATCCAGCACACGATCCAGGAAATTCTCTTCTATACCTTTGAGGAGTTACCACGATGATCTGGAACGCGTTACTTGCACACAGCAAATGCAAATTAATGTAGTCTTCACATTTCGCCGTGGCAATAAAGGGGAATGTTGACATCAGCCTGAAAGTAGAATTAGCTTTTGCATTATGTGGTGTGAGAGTGAGGTGTTGAAACCCATGCACGAAACTTTCCAAGTTACAGTAAAGCACTGTTCTGGCAGCGGCGCAGCAGCAGTGCCGCTCCAACAGGCAGGGCTTTGCTGAGTGCTCCCTCTGTTCAGCTGTGCTCTGGCTGGTGCTGGGCTCACAGGGCTCTGCCATTTTGTCTGCTCACCTCTCACGTGCTCCTTGTTTTACTGCAAGCTCATCTCCTTAAGAAGTGGGAGTTACAGCGCTGTCAGGCTCTGCTTCTCTCTGATAAAGAGTCCGTTCTGCTCCCAGCAGCGCCGGCCCCTCCTGCCCTAATCCCTCCAACACCCATTTCACTGCAGCGCAGAGCTCCATCTCAGCCCTTTGAGCCAGAGCAGATGGGGCTGCAGGATGGATCCTGCCGGCAGCCCCCGTCCGTAGCAGCTCCCAGACTGCTCTGTGCTGGTGCTAAGGGGTGAAGCTGAGAGCTGTATTGATCACTGCTGCAGTGCATGGGCACTCACCGAGCACTTGCCGAGCTCTCAAATCCTGCAGTGAGCAGAAAACCTGGTGTGGAGTGTCCTGGCAAAGACACCCCAGGATGCTGTGACCCCTTGTCCCCCTGTCCCCAGCGGGGACACCAGTATGCAACCCCAATACCATTGCACATTGTCAGAGCCCAGAGCACATCCCTGGTACCCAGTGCACATCAACAGTACCAGTGCACACCCTGAGTGCCCACTGCACGCCGCTGGTGCCAACACGCATGGGATGGGGAGGTGGGACTCTGCCCCGTGCAGCCGTTGGGCAGTTTCTTGCAGAAGCAGCTCAGCTCCATCACTGCCAGCAGCGTGCTGGGGGTGAGGTGCGGCCATTTGGCTAATTACAGCGGGAGTATTTTCTGCAGACGTTGATGGAGAGCAGCGGCCCAGAGATCAGCAGCGAAACTGAGCACAGAGGGCGAGAGCGAGACACGAACAGGGACGGGCTCGCCGGGTCAAGTAGGCTCTGCTCGCCCAGCAATTATCTCCTGTCCTCCTCTCTGCTCGGAGCTTTGAGCTGAGGGGTGAATTAGCTGGTGCGATTTGAGTTAACCCCTTGTTTGCCGCTGGCCTCGCGGCTGGCTGCACTCACCAGGCGCATCGTTAGGCGCCATCGTATTCCAAGTCTTTCTCATGTAACTACTCCTCCACCTTTGAAGCAGCCCTGTCCTGCAGCAAGGTCTGGTTTTATCAGTGCACTGAGTTATTGCTGCTGGATCTTGCTGCTGGTGGCTGCCTGCACAGAGCTGGTGGACAAAAGGGAAGAGTTTGGAAGAGGAGCCCTGGATGGGCCGGCGTGCGCAGGGCCAGGTGCCAGCTGCAGGCTGCTTGGGGAAAACTTTTCTTCATAAAGAGCTGTTTTGTTTCACGGCCATGAAGGCCATCCGTGCTGTTGTTCAGCATGCAGCATATGAAACAGGTCATTCTGGGGAGACCCTCGGGAAGGAGCAGCACACGGTCACAGCTGAGCAGAGCAGCACAGCCATGGGACCACCGACAGCACAGGGTCCTGTGCCAAGCACTGCTGGGTGCTGCAGGGAGGGCAGGGATTCGTGCTGTGGCCTCTCAGCCTCATGGCTCCCACTTCACACTGAGGTGGGGGGAGTGGAGGAGCACCCCACTGCCTTCACATGGAGACCCATTGCCTTCACATGGGGTCAGAGCTGCAGGATGAGTTGGGCTGCAGATGAGGGAGAAGGGAAAACAAATGCTGCCAGCAGCAGGTGAAGGAAGTGTAGGAGCATTATGTATAATATTAAATTTAATGCTATTCCATTTTCCATCTCAGTTATTAAATTAACTGAGGGCTATGCTTGCACTTAAAAGATTCCTGTCATATTTTATGCAGAAGATGATCTCAGAGTAATTCGTGCTAGAAATATGTCATGTTAAATTACGGATACCAATAAACCTTACTTAAACTCAGCATTGATCATGGGTGGGAGGCAACCCCCAGGGCCAGGCTCCCCTGGGCACCCCTGGGACAGAGCTGGGTGCCACCATCAGTGTGGGTTGCAGGAGTGTCACCAGATGTGGGGAAAGGAGAGTTGCTGGGGTCTGACGGGTGGCAGTGAGGGTGATGGGGACCCATTGGTTGTGATACCACTTATCAGTAGGAGACGCCACATCCCATATCAAAGCAGTCTGCCTCTTGTTCGGTATCACCTCGTGTTCATGCCTTTGGGATCAGCTCCACAGCCACGGGCAGCTCCAGCACACAGCAAAGCCCGGCTGCGCTCTCCCATGCGCCTGCCCCACTCCGTGCCCTCATGTGATCCGAGGTTTTTCCTCTCCCAAAACAGCCCTCGCCTCTGTGTGGGGAAATCACAAGCTCCAGCTGCCCTGGGGCAGTGCATGGAGTTGAGCTGATGCCTGGCCTGAATGGGCCACTTGTTCTCTGCAGCCCTGTGCAGTGCCCAGCTCAGCTGTTTGCTCCACAGCCCTGGATGCTCCCCAGTGCTGTCCTCATGGGACAACACCAGGGCTTGAGCCCCCCATGGGAACACACGGCCGGGTTAGCATCACTCCTGCTAACTCAGACCCAGGGCAAAGCCCCTGGGGTTCTTCCAGTGTGTGAGTTACCAAGAGGTGAAGCCCTGCTCCATGCAAGCTGTGAGGTGCTCCATGCACACTCCATGAGCACGTCTGCTGAAGACACCTGTCCTGCTTTGGATGGGATGGGGTTGACATCCTTCATAGCAGCCACTGCGATGCAGCTGTGACCCTCTGCACATACGAGCTCATGGTTGTTTGGAGCACCATCCTCACTCACAACACCTTCCCAGAGCAACCAGGAGCCATGCTGGGGCTGCTCCCATTATCCCAGCAGCCAAATGGTTGCTGCTGCTGCTGGTCCAGCACTCAGAGCATCCCTGGTGCCAATGCAGCACCATTCCACCCTGCACATCACAGCACTGTTGGGATCCCCACCTTGCACCCTGCAACCCCCGGCGCCGGGCGGTAATTGGGCACAGCAGCACGTGCTGCAGGGCTGCTTTAATCCTGCTCCAGGTGGCTGCAATCCAGTGCAGGATTTACAGTGCCCTGACCCTGAGCTGTCAAGAAGGAACAGCCAGATTAATGGGGTGGGTGGGTTCGTGCAATAATCGTTTGTTTGATGTGACAAGCCTGATAGGCGTTGATTTACTTACAGACTGATAGGCTTTTAATTGAGCACCTCCGTCCCAGTCACATCAAAGGCAGAGGTTGACAAGGGGCCCCTTTTACCAAAAGCTCCCTGTGACTGACAGAGCCTGGATGCTAATTCTCCCGGGGAGGGGTTTCCCTCTTTTTCTCTTCCTTTTTTTTTCTCAGGATTGGCCAGGCCAGGCAAGGAGAAAGCCCTTCCCTTGTAGGGGGTATGGAATGGAAGCGAGGATGGGGAGAGTGGGGACGGGAATGAGGATGGAAATGGGGATGGGGATGGGAGTTGGGATGGGGTTGGGAGTTGGGATGGGGATGGGAGCTGGGATGGGGATGGGAGCTGGGATGGGGATGGGAGTGGGGATGGGGATAGGAGTGGGGATGCGGATGGCAATGAGATGGAGATGGTGATGGAGTGGGGATGATGATAGGATGGGGTGCATGAAGGGTGCCAGCATTGCCCCTAGTGCTTTGCGGGGAGCCCTCACCCATCCCGAGCTCTTGCTCCTCCTGTACCAGAGAGTGGATGAAAGGCAGCTGAAGTGGTGGAGAGGCAAAGGCCAAGTTGTGCTTCCACCATTCACCAGCACAGCTGCTCCACCTGAGCAGGTAGGAGAGCTCACGGGATGCAGTCGCAGCACTGAGAATTTGATGGGCCAGGAGAGGAGCGCAGAGCTCTGCAACCTACCCTGCTCATCATTAATAGGAAAACATCCCAAATGTCCTTCTGACAAGACTTACAGGAGATCCCCATTCAGAAAAGGAGGAATTTAGGAAAGTGGGTCTCAATCACAGCTCTTCGCTGCGGCCCACGGTGCGCAGAGACGTGGAGCCTTTGGGTTGGATTATCTGCGTGTATTTATGTTTGAAAGCCTGGTGTGTTTTTCAGCATCTAAATATAAATTATTTTTACTGTATCAATGATTAAACATTTTTCTTTGAGATCATAGCGTCCAAACAAATAAATGTTTCTGAAAAGGCATTCAAAAAATTTAAAGGGAGAAAAAAAAATCCCTCTGAGAAACCCTTTTGTCATTTGCAACCAATAAAAATGCCTATTGTTATGAAGGGCTCATAAATAATCTGATTTTGGCATGCTTTAATACCGTACAGAAAATGAATAAATTAAACTTGATTTACAGCCTTTTTCATTTTTATTAGAGCCGCTCCAAACATTTTATGTAACGTACGTGCCAGATGAGCTACACCAAATGGTTTGAGGCTCCGGCACTGATATTATATAAATTAAGTTGTTTTAATTTGCATAGTTTAATTAACTAACACTGGCAAAGAACTAAAGGAAACAGAGGTATGAGTGATGCTGAGGGCTGGACCCACCCGCAGTGGCGGCCCGATGGAATATGGAGAGGGGTGCATCACCCCCAGAGAGCTGTGATGCTGAACGCTGCGGCGGAGGCTCTGCTCAAATCCTCACCTCACCGATGGGGAAACCGAGGCACGAGGCGGCACCGCTCAACCGCCGCCGTGCAAACGGAGGCCGGCTCAACCCACGCTGACACAGCAGCGTTGCACGGGAAGACAAACAGTGAAAGGAGTCCAAAGCGATGTCAAAGTGCCCCGGTGTCAGCCACGCTGTGCGTTTTGATCTGCTGCCCATCCCCGAGCACGGCGCAGCTTTGATAAGTGGGCGACGCTCTCCTCCCCCCTCGCGCCATTCATCCTGCAGAATTTCACACCAGGAAACAGCTTCATTACATCAACAACAGGAAGACCCCACTGATTTGTCGAGGGGAAAAACAGCTGTTAGTCACACATCAAGGGAGCAGGGGGAAAAAAAAAAACAAAACAAAACAAAACGAAACAGAAAAAAAAAGAATCTCACCTTTTTCCTTTAATGTTGGCGCCGTGCTTTAATGTGAATCGCCCTGCAGAGGAAAGCGGCCACCGGCTCTCCCATAAGTAACCATCACCCAGCAAGCACCAGTTAATATCTGAGCGTCTTCCTGCCTCTCCCGCTACATGATTGCTTTCGAAAGAAAGATTAATTCCAACTTTAAAAAGGAAAACACTATTTTTATCATTGCCAGAAGTCTATATGGGTTTAAAAAAGAAAAAGCGCTCGCTTGTCGTTTTACATCTTGCAATTTTGTCAGTTGTTTTAAAACATGTCTCCTGTAATAAATAAGATCATTTTTATGCGTTTGTTCTGCTGCGATCCGAGCGGCACGGAGCTGGGGAGCGGCCGTGGGGCCATGGGCACAGTGTGGCTGTTGGCACCGCTTCCATGGGGCCACAGTGGGACCTGGCAAACACCAGAAGACCGAAAATAGGGAATAAGAGCATCGAAGGCCGTGCGATTGTGTTGGTCGTGGAGTGCATTTTGTGCTCTTGCTGGTACAGGAGAAAAGCAAAAGATCAAAAATAGAGAAGAAGAGCACCAAGGGCTACGCAACACATTGGCCATCGTCTGTGCCTGGTGCTCTTACTAGTAGAGCAGAAAACCCAAAAGACCAAACATGGAGAACGAAAGCACCAAGGGCTACACAATGCATCAACTATGGAGTACATTCTGTGCTCTTACTGGTACAGGAGAAAATCCAAAAGGCCAAAAATAGAGAAGAGCGCCAAGGGCTACGCAACACATTGGCCACGGTCTACGCCTGGGGCTTTTACTGGTAGAGCAGAAAACACAAAAGATCAGAAATAGAGAATGAAAGCACTAAGGGCTACACAACGCATCGGTTGTGGAGTACATTTTGTGCTCTTACTGGTACAGGAGAAAACCCAGCAGACCAAAAATGGAGAAGAAGAGCACCAAGGGCTACGCAACGCATCGGCCATGGACTACATTTTGTGCTCTTACTGATAGAGCAGAAAACCCAAAAGACCAAACATAGGGAATAAGAACACTGAGGGCATTGACCATGGCCAACGTCTAGTGCTCTTACAGATATAGCAACAAAACCTCACAAAAATGAGAGTATAAAAGCACCAAGGGCTACACAGTGCATTGGCCATGGTCTGTGTTTTGTGCTCTTTCTGTTATAGGAGCATTATCTTAGTTTGTTAATGCCGTGTTGTTGTTGGAACACAAGTTGAATTAGTTTGAGGACAGACTTTTTTTCCTCTTTCCTTTGGACTTGAATGGCTCCTTTGAACAGAGGTCTCTCCTCCTGCATCAGTTTTGAGGTCAGCTTTGAGGGGGAAAGAAGAAAAGCCCCCAAAGAGGGGACATTGACAGCCCAGCAGTCAGTATAGCAGATAGCAGAGGAGAAGCAGCGTTGGGCTGTATCAAGGCCATGCTGGTGATGGTGGACCCAACAGAGCCACTTCCCAGAGTCCAGAGCACACAGCTTTGTGAGAGGCGACCCTGTGGGCTCAGTAATGGCAGCACTGTTGGAACATAAAGCATCTGCCAGGAGGTGGTGTGTTTCATTGCACGTCTCTGTTTCTCACCCTGCAGCAGCGACCCTGAAACCAGAGGTGGTTCTGTGCTCCAGCATCACCTCCATGCACCGTGAACTCAGTCCCTCCAGTTCCTCTCTCTCAGATGGAACCCATGGGAGGATGCACTGATACTGGGAAATGTTTAAGAGTGTAAATGAAAGAGAGTGGAAAACCAGTGAAAGTGCTGCAGGTTGCAGTGTAAGCAAATGGCACTTTTTGTGGGGTTGGTTCCCCACTGCAGGTGCACCCCAAGGACAGGTGACAGCATGCAACATTCAGTGCCCACATACCCTTTTCCTACAACAGCAGGAAACACTTTGCCACAGCCAAGTGCTCCTGCTGATAAAAGGAGTTTAATGCTGGTGATTACATTATGTGCAAAATAAATATGTACACGTGCAAACCGTGTTGGCAACTCAGGTTCGGGCGACACTGCTGACCTGGCAGCAGCTTCACCGTGTGCTGGGTGTGCACAAGGCAGGGTGCCAGAAGGGTCATCCTGCAGGGACGAGGTGCCAAGCTGTGCCGTGCCACGGCAAGCTGTGCATAGCTAAGCTGTGCTGTGGCTGCTAAGCTGTGCCGTGCCATGATAAACCGTGCCAGCCAAGCCAAGTCACGCCATGATAAACCTCACCGGCTGAGCCACGCCATGCCGTTCTGAGCTGTGCCAGCAGCACCGTGCTAAGCCCTGCGATGCCGAGCCGAGCCATGCCGAGCCGTGCCATGCTTTGCCAAGCCACGCTGTGCCGTATTAATCCGTGCGATGCCGAACCGAGCCGATCCGCGCCGAGCTGCGCTGCGCTGTGCCGGCGGCCGCTCTCCCCCACGCGGCGGCGCGGCGGCGGCGGCGCTTCGCCCCCCCCACCGGCGCTCTCCCCGCCCCGGGGGCCCGGCCGGGCGCGGATTGGTGCGCGGCGCCGGCCCCCT